TCAATCAGGGAGGTCCCCAGGCAGCTTTGGAAAGACACCCATCAAAAGAGTGAGAAAACCTAAAGAAGGTCTCAGTGGGGAAGGTACCAGTGGCCGGCTGCAAAAGGGCTCCATTCTCTTGACTCTCAGTCACCTTCCAGAAAATGCACAGAGGAGCCCGGCTGTGCTGGAAACAGCCTTTCATAATACAAGATGGACAGGGAAGGCCAAGAGCGGGTGGTTCCCAATCTCCACAAGGGCAAGAAAGTTGAGTCCACACTTCTTTCTTGTCTTTTTCTTTTTTTGAGACAGGGTCTGGCTCTGTCACCCAGGCTGGAGCACAGTGGCACTATCTTGGCTCACTGCAACCTCTGCCTCCTAGGCTCAAGCAATCTTCCCACCTCAAACCACCAAGTAGCTGAGGCTACAGAGGCACACCACCATGCCCGGCTAATTTTTTTATTTTTTGTAGAGACAGGGTTTTGCCATGTTGCCCAGGTTGGTCTTGAACTCCTGAGCTCAAGCAATCAGCCCACCTTGGCCTCCCGAAGTGCTGGGATTACAGGCGTGAGGCACTGTGCCTGGCCAAGTCCACACTTCTAAGCTTGCTGTTGCCCTCAGACTTGCAGACCAAGCTATTAAATGGAAGTAAGTGAGAGTTGAGAAAGGGAAGTGGCCACTACAGAATGAGTTTTGCTGAGAACGAGGACACGGGTCAGGCTATGATGCTGCCCTCCTTCTGTGGCCTTGGGAAGGAAGGATGGGTGCTGCTGGTGTGAGAACTAGATCATAACAGATCAGACTTACACTAATTAGCCCATGATGACGGCGTGGATTTGGAGGGAGCTGGGAAACTCAGACCTACAGGATATCCCAGCGGTATGTCCTGGGCTCCATACCAGCCCTGCCCTGCCTGACAAGTTGGACGAAAACTGATAAAGGACTAGTCATAGCTTCAGATGGCAAAACTGGGCCAGCCAGAATGAAAAAGGAGAAGGAATTGAACAGGGCAAATGCCAAGCTCTGCATATAACTGACCAAGGCTGCTTGGCATGAACAAAACTGAGACAGAGAAATGCATGGAGAAAAGATCTGGGCATTTGTGGGCCACAAGCTCGGCATGACACAGATGCAAATATTGATGGGAGCACCCCAGATGGCTGTGACTCCCCCTGGCGGTTTCTGTGCACAACTTCCCCCAAAATAGGTCCTACAACTCCATGCAGAGACCTATCCTGGCACCCTTAGAGCTTCCTAGCCTGTGTGCCAGAGAGCAGAAGTGCCAGAGGCTCCATCCACCCCTGGGTGGTCCTTACTCTGAGATGAGATTGTACCCAGGGCTCCCCTTTACAGTCTGGCTTGACTGAGATCACACCCTGCCTTGCCTTCTGTCCCTCTCCTAATTTGCTCTCCCCTCCCTAATAACTCCAGCATCCTCATCTCAACAGGAGCTTCTGGAGAACCCAACCCAAGACAAGTGGTGAGGGATAGGGTAGCCCTCCTCCTCAATGCACTCTGGGAACTACATTTTCAGAGGCCACAGCCAGAGGACACTGTTTCGGGCAGGGTGCAAAGCCGTGGGCAATGAACCTGGAGATTCAGAGGCTCTGAATGAGGGACTTTTAAAGAAGTTGGATGTAGGCAGTGACGGCAGCCAAGCTGGCAGGGTAAGAGCTGGCTCCTGAATGTGGCTATGAGAGGGGTGCCCAACACCACCAGAGTGTGTGCTGAGCACTAACTCAGTGCCAGGCATTACATGGGTTACTCTATTTAATCTCCACACCAAGCCTGCAAAGGAGGCAGCATTGTCATCCCCATCTTACAGATGAGGAAGATCATCAAGGCTTGTAACTTGTTCAAGATCGCATGGGTATAGGTGTGGATCCAGATTCAAACTCCAGCTTTAGCCCACTAAGCTACAGTGGCCAACCCCAGCCCAGTGTATTAGGAACTGCATGTAGAAGACCCCTTCAGCCCTTGTAAACTTAGGTAGGATCTAGCATGTCTAGGGGAACAGAGACCTCATCCAGTTGACACAGGAGGTAACATTACAGTGAAACAGGCAATCCCTGCTTTTCACCACCACCAGTACTGTGACCTCAGGCCAGCTCTACCAGTTTCTTGTGAGAGTGATGACGCCTGGGGCCAGACAAGGAATGCACGTCTTGTGTCCTGGTCACAAGACAGGCACGCCCAGAGGAGACAAGCTCCAAGAAGCCAGGCTTTGGCTGTCGGGGGTCCTGACTGCCAGAGAAGGATAGCAGGTGGGGAGAAGTGGGGAGCCCCTGGAGAAGACAGAGCGGGGATTCATGCTGAGGCAAGGGGCTCTAGGACTCTGGGGTTTATGCTCCAAAGAGCGGAATTTACCAGGACCAAATAAACAAGACCAGCCAGGACCGATGCCCCATCCCTGCTGGGGCCTGGCAAAGCTCTGATCTCCAAATTTGTATCTATTTTGAATTCAAAACCAAACACATCATCAGTAAACTGCAACACCTCCCAGAGCGGGCCCTGAGAGGGACCCAGAAAGTCTGGCCAGAAATCTAGAGTCCAAGGGGAGGAGATCTGTAAACTAAACATTGGCCAGGCTCTGGGGCCCTAAACCACTGCAGGCATCAGGCCTGTCCCAGGAGAAGGCACAGCAGGGGGAGTTGAGAGGGGTCTCTAGTTCCAGTCGAAAATGAGGCTGCAGTCACCCTAAGTAGACTTGTCAGCAGCAGCTACAGGTGCAGCCGGGCTAGGGAGACCAGGATTGTGGGTTTAGCCAGGAGAGCGGTCTGGGACCCCAGCTGAGACACAGGTGTTGGATTCCAGCACCATCCTGCAAACATTCATTTCAGTGATGATGAGGAACCTGGCCTACTATCCTGGTGAGCCAGGGCAGCATGAAGGTAGCACAGAGTGGCACCCAGTCAGCATGAACGCATGAGAATCTGCATGTGACAGAGGAGAAAGTCTCTTCATGAAGTGGGTTTCACTGATCCCAGCCAAACTCTGTGGCATGTGACACCTTCTGCCCCTGCTGAACCTTCCACTCACCTTGTCCCAGGTAGTGGTCTTACCCTCCTCTTGCTCAAACTGAAAACCTCAGTCTCCTGAAATGCCTCCTCCTTCCCAAATCCACTGCACACATGTGTGACTGTGTATGCACGAGTGTGCGCGTATATGAACCCAGCTCCCAGCTGCCAACTCCATTGCCCCTGGATAGGCCCCTCCTTGGAATCCCTTGGTACAGCCTCCTGGGCTCCTGCCTCCCACCTCTTCTGCACCCTGCTCTTCTCCACTGGCAGCCAAATGGATATTTCTAAACTGAAATCTGGTCCCCCCACCCTGCACCCCACACCCCTTCCACAGTTCCCCTGAAGTTCCTTTCCTCAGTTACACCAGGATCTTCACAATGGGGACCCCTGGCCACCTCCCAAGCCAACAAACACCCCAAATGAGCTGCCACTGCAGAAACTCATCATGGCCCAGGCAGGACAAGCACATCCAAATATCTGACCAGGCTGCTCCATCTTGCTGGCAGGTCCCGTCCTCCCTCCACCCACCCGTCTAACCCCTGTATCCCCTAGTTAGCTGTGGCCCTGTGTGAAGGGTCCCTCCCCATGTACCCAGAGTCATTTGTTCTCTCCCACATGGCCTCAACAGGTTATAATTCCTGAAGACCCCATGCGGGGCCAGGCATGAAGATGGCATATACCCACGTGTCACTCCCAGAACATGAGCTGCCTGCCCTGGCACCATACACAAAGGGACTGACAGGCCCAGAATCCCAAGAAAAGGTGCACCTGTGCATACAGGAAAGGCACATTTACAGGTGAGAATCGTCCATCGTGGGGCCTCAGGAGGCATCTGACCTGAAGCACGCCTTTCTCACTTTATCCTTGTGGCCTACTGAAGTGCCACTCCCGCTTTACAAATTGATCCACTGTTGCTTGAGTCATTTCCACCTCAATGAGTACCAGGTCCTTGAAGATGAGGAAAGGTGAGCCAATTTGAGGGTCCTGGGCTCCTAGGTGCAGAAGAGTCCCCAGGAACAGGCCAGGTCATGGGCCACGACCCCACAATAGACTTTTGGCTAGTCACAAGGGTGGACTGGGGGGCTATGTCCCAGGAGCTCAACACCAAGACCCAGGACAAGAACACAAACTCACCCCCATTCTTCACAGGCCTTGAGAAATCTTTGGGCAATAGTCAGACTGTGCCAAACCCCTGTGTTTCTGTCTCCCCAAGTCCCCTGGCCCCTACTGCCTAGCCTAGGTCAGGTCATGTGGGCAAGTGATCCCCCACAGCCTCACAGTCCCTACCCCAGGGCCCAGGGTAAAGCTCCTTCCCTGTCCCCCTCCATTCCTGCCCTCCCTCCTTCCATGAACTGCACCAGCTAGGAAGAAATCCTTAAAGCCAATGGAATGCGGTGAAATAGTGCAATTTTAGGCTCTGCAACTTATTTGAGGGCAAGTGGCTGCCCATTGTCTCCTTCCTCAGGCCAGCCTCTGGCACAATGACCCTGGATGCCTGGTAGCCTTCCGTAATGGTCAGCATCCTCCCCTGCCATCCCCAGCCCACACTATGAGCTGACCCAGGGCAGGGGCAGCCTCTGGCTCATTCACCACAGAAACACAGAACCCGGCACAGAGGATGCGCTCAGTAAATTCTTCTTGTAAATAACTGTACTGAACTGGACTGTGCGCATGTTACAGGGAAATCTCCCAGGCTCAGCCAGCCCTGGCTTTGAACCTTAGTCCCACCCCTTCCAGCTGTCCCGGGGGGGAACATCGGCTACAGCCTTGCCAAATGCCTGTGGTTTCATCTGTAAACCAGGGTGAAGAAGTGAAGACTCAACAAGCACAGTATGCAGCACACAGGGGGCCTCTGGTAACATCAGTCGTCTTCCCTGAAAACCCCAGCAGTCCCTCTCACCGAGGCCTCACACTTCATGTCAAGAATTCACTACTTCTCAGCACTGCCTTAAAATAAAGCCACCAAGAGTCTGAGGAGGAAACACAGCAGAGTTCTGAGGGTAGAGTGAACAAAATGACTTTTACAGAAAACTCAGGATCTTCCCTGTGCACAGTGCTGAATCCCTGTCTCAAAGTTCAGAGCCCAGAAGGTACAGAGATGTGGCCCTTGAAAATCAAGCCCTTAAGAAAACAGCCCAGCTGCATGGGGCAGGAAGCCCAGGCTGCAGTCCTGTGGTCTGGAGGCAGCTGACGTTCAGGTGACAGACGTGCCTGGCTGCCTGTGGGTCCAGGGGGCATGGAGCCCCCACCGTCCCTGGCCCAGGTCTAGGACCAAGTCCATAGGCCCAGGCCTGCTCCGGGCGCTGCAGCTCCTTACTCAGGGGCCGCACTGGAGCAGCCACAGCAGCTAGGGCGCCGCAGAGACTGCATGACGGCCCGCAGTGGCCCTCTCCGGCCCTCCACGGACAGGCTGTCTTCGCTGGTGGGCGCCCGCTGCAGCTGCTCAAACTGCATCTCAAGGTGCTTCTGGATGGCCACGCCGAGTACCTCCGGGTCCACTGCAGCTCCATACACCTCCCATGTCATGCCTTCAGCATCCCATCGCACATCCCGCACAGGGGACGATGCCTCCTCCAGGCTGGACCCCAGAGTTACCTCTGGGAACACGTGCAGGGCCACAGGCGCTTCCAGGGATGGACTAGTGGCCACAGCCTTGCAGGCCGCCACTGGGGCTACCTGCACACCCGCATCCTGGGCTGACAGTGGAGATGCCTCTGCAGGGGCCAAGTCACTGGCTGAGGTCATGGTCCACACATCTTTGGTCCTAGAGCCAGGCTCTGGTGCTAAGCTGGTGGGACCCCAAGGGTGGGCACAGCAATGGGAGTGCCCAGGGAGCCCCCCAGACAACCTACAGTGGATCTTCACCCCATGCTGAGCCTGCAGCCCAGATTCGCTCACTGACGCCACTAGTTTGGGAAAGGCCAGGATCCCTGTGGCAGGCAGGGCATGGGAGCAGCCGCCAGCCCCTGCCTCCCTCATGTCACAGAGTAGAGCAGCTGGGGGCAGAGCATGGCAGGTGGTGGTAGCTGGCTGTTTGGGGGCTTTGGGGTCAGCCTGGGCACTGCTGCTGTGGGCAGTTGTGTCCCCCTGGTCTAGTGGTGGCACCAACACCTGACTTGCCCCCGGCATCCAGGCTGAGTCAGAAGTCCCATCCTCAGGAGCCAGGTCTCTTGCCAGGCCTACAGGGGCCTGACCACCCTGACCAGAAGTACCACCCGGCTGCAGCTGAGCCCTGTGGACAGGGGAGCTGCCAAGGGCTGAGCAGCTGAGACTGGCCTTCCGGGCACCACTGTGTCCTCGCATCTGGGTGCTACGGACCAGGTCCGAGTGGCTCCTCTGCATAGCAGCTGCACTGGGGGCCCGCAGGCGACACAGGTCACCACCGCCCATGGTGGACACATTGCCCACAGTGCTGCTCCGCCAGTGACCTCCAGCACTGGGTCGTGCCTCAGGGCCAGAGGCCCGTGCCGGCTCCATACTCTCAGGCAGGTCCCCCTCTTCCTCTGGGGCCCGGGGTCTGGTGCTGGCCTCGCCCAGCTGGGCCTGCCACACGGTGCTGCTGGCCCTCTTGCAGAGCTCTGACCTCTGACCCCGGCCTTCACCCAGCAGGCTGCAAGAGCTCTGGGACAGGGGCTGAAGGCGGGGGCTCAGGGGTGCCTGGGGACCCGGCTCCGGGCGGCTGGAGTTCATGGCTGCCTGCAGGAGAGAGAAAGGGAACGAGTGAAGTTGAGTTGGGTGGCAGCACCTAAGCCGATTCTACTGTGAGCTCCCACAGTCCTAGGTTCACTGGGAGACAGCTTCAGTCCCAGCCTGCCTGACTGGTCAGAACTGTACGCAAGGTGGTGACAAGACACCAGACACTTCAAATCAAGGTCATCCACATTAGACACAGGGATGACACTGCAAATTGTCTCATCATCAGTCCCAAGCAGTTAGAATCTGCCCTAGGGTGGGATCCTGGAGGCCGCCACCATGTCAGCTCTTGACTCTTCACTGGCTGGCTTGTGTGGGAGCGAGGGGAGAGGGCCAAATCTGCTGGGGCTTTGGGGATGAAACTGCAGCACTGGGGGTGGGGCTGTGGGACAACAGATCTTGGTCAACCAGCATGGAAGCACTATGGCCTCAACTGGCACAGCTGGACACGCCAACACTAGGCTAATTCTTCCGGGACTGGCAGTATCAACTCACTGTGGACAAGGCCTCGTGGTACAGAGTGGGAGCTCAGAGAAAGTTCAAGGATGAGGGAGCAATGACTAGAGGACTAGATGACTTAGAATCACCCTGGCCTCCCCCCAACCACCCCCATCCTCCCTGGCCTCCCCCCAACCACCCCCATCCTCCCTGACTTCCCCCCAACCACCCCCATCCTCCCTGGCCTCCCCCCAACCACCCCCATCCTCCCTGGCCTCCCCCCAACCACCCCCATGCTCCCTGGCCTCCCCCCAACAACCCCTATCTTCCCTGGCCTAGCCTGGCTAAGCTGGCATGTCTCTAGGGTTCCCTGACTCCCACCACTAGCTCCAGGGGCAGGGAGAGGCCCATGCATCAGCTTTTTCCACAAGGGACTCACTCAGCATCTGGTCATTGATTCCACAGCCGTCTCCTGAGCCCCTACTGCATGCCCAGCTCTGGGGCTGGAGAGCAAGGGATTCATTCAGACCTTTCTGTACCCCCGGGATGGTGCAGCAGTGAGATAAGATGCCCACCCAGTACCACCAATCAGACCCACTGTACATAACATTTAACCCCCACTTGCCCAGTGTACCTGCATCCTCATTGTTTCCCACCCTCCCTGCCATTGCTGTCACTTCCCCCAGCCACAAAGACTACTCTGGACTTGGCCCCTGACCCAGCTACAGCCTAGAGTCAGCTCTGGCCCTTTCCACCTCAGCATTTCTTTCCTGACCCTCCAGCCAGGCAGCCTTTGTCCCTGGCTGAGCATTGGGCCTGGGTGAATCAGTCTAGCCAACTGTCAGCCTCCCCACCAGCCTGAAGTTGGCAAAGCCTGGTCTGTGGTCTGCTCCCCTCCGGCTGTCCAACACCCAGCATCGACCTGACATGTAGTTGGCACTCAGAGAATATCTGCTGTGTGCCTGACCAAGAAAACAAGCAAGTACAAGAACATACCCACAGAGGAAGCTGCTGAGTGCCAAAAATGGGGTCTGTGGGTGGGCACTGCCAAGGCAAGAGAGCTCACTTTGGGTGAGAGATGAGAAAACGCTTCTTGGAGGACCAGTCACATAAGTTGAGCCTGGAGTGAGAGAAGCAAGGTGTCCGGGTGGAGAGCGGGGTGGGTGGGAAGAGAGAGACTGTGTCCAGAGCACACGAGGGAAGCAGTGGGGTCAGTGTCTGGGCCACCTCAGCCCTGGCCACAGCAGTGAATTAGGAAGATCACTCTGGGATTCCTTGCCAGGCAGGACCAGCTGGAGAAACAGGGTGGGAACAGGAGGCGGGAGCTGCATTTGGGCAATCCCGGCCCTGCCCTCCCACCCCAGGCTGATAAGTACTGCCAGGAAACAACCTTCTGGGCCAGGTGAGCAAGCCTACCCAAGAGGAAATTCAGGAGGGGCTGTGGGACTCGGTTTCTGTGTAATTACAGATGTCTTGCCAGCCCAGCACTCAGGAGATGGCTGGTGGCTATTGAGCCACAGTGAGGATGATACTGATGCTGTAGGCCCTGAGACTTCAGCTCTGCACAGCTTCCTGTGATGATGGAAAGGTTCTACCTTGTGCTGTCCAATAGGTAGTCACCAATGCTACGTGGGTACCAAGCACTTGACAGGGGGCTACGGCACCTGAGAAACTGAATGTTTAAGTTTTATTTGAATCTAACTGGCCACATGACGCTAATGGCTACTGTATTGAACCAGGCTGCTCTGAACATAGCTGCAGCCTGGTAAGGATGTCCCATCCCAGCTGCTTCATGGGGCTGAAACCAGACTTGTCCCCAAGAGGGTTGGGAAGAGGAGAAGTAGCCAAGAAAGGGTTCTGACCCAGGTCCTGCCCTCAAGGAGCTCTAAGATGAACGTACAAAGGAGGGCAATAAAGCCGGTAACAGCGACGATAATAACAGCTGCCAGGGCTGATCACTCGCCAAGTGCCAGGCACATGCCACATCCTTTGCACACCCTGCCTTTATAACCATGCAAAAGGTCTGATTTCGCCCTAGTAGAACTCTGGGAAGATCTTTTAGGATGAGATAAAGAACAGGCATACAGAGGTATCCAAGACCTCTAGTGTCCTTTGAACGATACCTTAACGTTCTCTCTCCAGCCCCATTTAATGCCGAAGTTGCAATGGTTGTGGTCAATGTCCCATGGCCAGTGCTGGGCTGTCCTGCTGCCACAGGTTCTACCTGTCAGCAACTGAGAGATCAACCAGCCTCACATGCAGCAATCAACCAATGTCACTCTGAGTAAAAGCCCCCAGTTCTCAGACACTTTCAGACTAGCCCAAACAGAGGCCATCAGAGTCCCGCTCCCACCATGCTGCCTCAGCAGAGGAGCTCAGGCCTTTGGGATGTGCCTAGGGGACTACCAAGACCACCACAAGTGGCTCCATCTCAGAGTACACTGTGACATCCACCTAAGCCCCCCTAGTTTTTGTTTGTTTGTTGTTGAGATGGAGTTTTGCTCTTGTTGCCTAGGCTGGAGTGCAATGTCTCCATCTCGGCTCACTGCAACCTCCATCTCCTGGGTTCAAGCGATTCTCCTGTCTCAGCCTTCAGAGCAGCTGAGATTACAGGTGTGCGCCACCGCGGCCAGCTAATTTTTGTATTTTTAGTAGAGACAGAGTTTTTTTGCCATGTTGGCCAGTCTGGTCTCTAACTACTGACCTCAGGTGATCCACCTGCCTCAGGCTCCCAAAGTCTGGGATTACAGGCGTGAACCACCACGCCCAGCCCAAGTCCCCTCTTGTTAAGTGGCAGGCATTTGGATGATGACTTATGTGTCCAGCAAAACCAAAACAGGAAAAGCAAACATATACGGTCAGGCGGAAAAACTGGTTCTATGTTAAAATATGGACCTTACCTCTCAGAGACCAGACAGAAATGCACGCAGCACAAACCCCCCATTGCACAGTGGGGATAGAGGGCAACCTCCAGGAGGTGGTTTAATCCACCCCAGAGTGAACGGGCCCGATAGGAACACTCAGGGCCAACTGTGGGCGGCGCAGCAAGGAGCACTCCTGAAGAGAGGGTTTAGAGGAGACAAAATCCACCCTTCACAATAAACTTGCCTTAAGGGCTACATGCCCCTGGTCATATGCTGTGCCAGGAAAGGGTTCTGGGGTAACCGTGGGGTCAGTGGCCTCATGGATGCGGCTCTACTCACCAGAAAGAGGCCTAGGCGCCCACCAGCCCCTGAGCTTCCTCCTCTGGGCAGGATCTACCCACACTCCCCGGGGGCACCTAGGTGGAGAAAGTGCCCCAGCCTAGAAGCAGCCTAGGCGGCCGGTGTGTCCCTAACTGCACGCTCACAAGCACTCACTCCCCAGCCTGGGACACACAGGCCCCTTTGCAGTACCAGTATCTACACAACTGCACTCTGCACACCAAGCACAGGCCGCCCCTGCTGCGGGGCCAAAGGCCTGAAGGCACCGCACCACACCACGCAGCCTCGCCCAGCACCGCTCCATTCCCGCCCCTCCTGCACAAAACCCACCCGGACTTAGGGAGAAGGGGCCTCAATACGGCACCGAAACGAGGCTACAGACCTTCTCGGGAGCAAAGGCAGCCACTGCAGGCAGATGGGGCTGAGGGCCGGGATAAGGATGCGGGGCAGGAGGAGCCAAAGGGCAGCGAAGCTGGGGGCGGGGTAGGCGGCGCAGGAGGCTGAGGGAGGGAAGAGGGAGAAGAGGGAAGGAGGAGCGATGGCAGGAGGGGTGGGGGCCGAAGGAGACAGGGTCCCGGACAGACTCGTGAAAAATGGGAGGATGGGCAGAGGAGACGTGGAAGAGGGGACAGCACAGGACAGGACAATGAGAGGCGGAGCGCCGGGAGTGCGGTGCGGCCACCGGGGGCGCCGGGCGCTGGACAGGGGCCGGGATGTCCGGGGTCTGAGCGTAGGCAGCGGGGAGGAGTGGGTTCTGGGGCTCCTGGGGCTCAGCAAGGGAGAGGTCCGCCCACCACGCCCCCCGCCCCCACGGGCGTGCGCGGAGCCGGCCTCTCACCCTCTCGCCCGCCCAGCTGCGCAGGCCGAGGGAAGCACTGCTCCTGCGGCCGCCACAGGTGCCCGGCGCCGCGACCCAAGATGGAGCCGGAGCCGACCTGGCCTGGGCCCGAGACGCCGCCCGCCGCCGTCGACCCGACCCGCGGAGCCCGCGCCGGGGACAGGGAAGGGCCAGTGGGGCCGCCGGCACCAGGGCGGCGGGAGGGGCGGCGGGCGGAGACCTCGCTCACCTGGGCCCGCCTCGCTCCCGAGCCCGCCCCCGCCCCCGCCCCGCCGCGCCCCGGGACCTGCGCCCGCGCGCCCCGGCCCTCCTTCCCGACACCTCCTAAGGCCTGGTCCCCACTGCCCTCGATCTTTTCGGCCCCGCCCCCACCGCGACAGCCTGTTCTCCAGGCTGCCCAGCAAACCCGCTCCCGCACCACGCCCCTCATTGAGGTCTCCGCGAAGGTGGCGACCCCCTCCCAGTCGCCTTCGCCATCCTGGCCCCGTCTCTCACTATTCCCTGGCTCCCGACCCCACCCACGAGACCCCCTTCCTATAGGGCCAGCTCCCCTCGGATACAAGGCCTGATCTTCACTAGCCTCGGACTTCCCGGCCCCAGGTCCCAAATCCTGGACCCACAGTTCCATCCTCTGAGCTCCACCCTCACGGACCCCAAACCTGACTCCAGTCCTTCGAGCTCCATGATCCTGGCCAGTCGCCGGGAGCCTTCCACCGGCACCCAAGACCCCAGCCTGGTGGAGTCCTTCCCCAGGTTTTGGTCTCCAGTCCCGCCCCTCAAGACGGGTAATCTACCACCCCTTTCCCCGCCCACGTGCCCCTACGCAGCCCAACTTGAGGCCTTCAGTCTCCCAGCCTGTCGCCGCGGACCCCAACAGCTGGCGAGCGGGCAGTGACCGTGCGGGGATGAGCCACCTCCACCGGAGCCTGCTTTCTTCCCCGCAATTCCCCGAAATGCCTTCCGCAACTCATGACACCGAGGGCCAGCCCAGGCCCTGGGATCTGCAGGCCCCACCCTACCAGGCTGAGGACCTGGGCTTGCAGCAGGCCCTCAACACCCTCCAATCTCCACAACTTCCGGCCAGCTTCAGGGCGCAGGGACAGGCAGCCAGGCTTCCCTTCATCCACAAAGGATTCCTGCTGTCCACCCCGGGCCACGTGGTATCAGGTGTCTGTAAGATCTCTGGGCCCCAGTCTCAGACACTTGGGTCTCAATGTTCACCTTCTTCCATTGTTCCCTGTCCTGGGACCCTAAACTTGTTTGCCCAGCCCTGTGCTGAGAGGTTTTCACTCCTCCCTTCCAGTGCCTTGGAGCCAACACTATCTCTAATTCTTCCCGTTTGAGGAGCAAGGGACCTCAGTCTGCCCAGAGACTCAGACTGCCCCAATTAGCCCTCTCCAGTGAGGTCTGAGAACAGCTCTCGGATTCTGGCAGATAGCTACCTTTGGCCAAATGCCCATGGGGGTGTCCACACAAGGTCCCGGCCTCTGGCCTCCCCAGTACACACTGCCTGGTAGGGAGATCCTGCTTAAAGGGGACAAATAGGGGATTTGTTTGCCAAGGTGAGAGCCAGCCAGCCGTGTCTGTCCAGTAATTAGGACCCCTCCTTCCACATCTGAGGCACCTTACTCATATTCCCTTTTTAGTGAAGTCAGCTGAGCCCCAAGAAGGGATGAACTGCTTGAGGTTACACTGAGAGCTGGTGCCAGATCCAGGCCCTATATCTGAGGTTCTCAGCTCCTAGGACATTTCAAGAACCGTGAACCTCACTGTGTGTGCTTCAAGGAAGCCTTCTTAGGGTGGGTTTCAGGAGATGTCTGCTATGCAGTCTACCTGCAGACACGGCTGGCTGGCTCTCACCACTAGGGCGTTGCCTTGGCTTGGCTCCCTGTTCACCTGGCCCCTTTCTTCCATTTATGGCCTGGCAAGGAGGCTCCCCTGGCTGTGGCAGCTGCCTAGGGAGAACCCAGGGTGGGGAGTCAGAGTCGAATTCCAATCTCAACTCCCCCACATATTCACTGGCTCTGCAACCCCACACCCAAGCAAAACTGTTCATCTCTCTGGGCATCAGTTTCCTCATCTGCAGAGAGGCAATAATACCTACCTAACAGGGCTGGGGGAGGAGGGTGTTTGTGAAAGTGTCCTGTGGAGTATCATTGCTGCTATCAGTCACTTGATCAAATATTTACTGAGCTCCTCCTGGGTCAGGTCCTGGAGATACAAGCTCCACTACATGGGAGAAGGAGGGGATGGGTATGTGTAGATTGCTTTGGTAGAGAGCAGCTCAGGCCTGAGGACCACATGCACCAAGTGCTATTTGCTCAGACTCTGAACCCTGACAAAAGAAGAATGAGCATGAGGTGCACTCGAGGGTCCAGCTGGGTCACACTGGGATGTCTGAGGCAGCATGTGGACAGGCGGGTTGCACCTACAGGACCGGAGTTTTTTGTTTGTTTGTTTGTGTTTTTTGAGATGGAGTTTCACTCTTGTCACCCAGGCTAAAGTGCAATGGCACAATCTCGGCTCACTGCAACCTCCGCCTCCTGGGCTCAAGCAATTCTTCTGCCTCAGCCCTCCGAGTAGCTGGGATTACAGGCACCCACCACCATGCCTGGCTAATTTTTGTATTTTTAGTAGAGAAAGGGTTTCACCATGTTAGCCAGGCTGGTCTCAAACTCCTGATCTCAGGTGATGGGCCCGCCTCGGCCTCCCAAGATTCTGAGGTTACAAGTCTGATCAACTGTGCCCAGCCAAGAACTGGAGTTTTTCAGAAATCTGGGTATCATGGGCATGGGGTGGTTGCTGAAGTCGAAGGAGTGGATAAGGTCTTCAGGGAAAGAGTAGAGTGAGAAGAGGGCTTAGAACCCATCCATGAGTCACCAGGTAACAAAGGGTGGAGAAGCAGCCAGAAAGGACAGAGAGAAACTGGGACATCGTGGTGACACAGGGCACTTGGAGCAAGCACCTTCAGTGAGGTGGCAGAGGCAGAAGCCACTGGTGTGGGTTGGGGGATGCGCTGGAGGAGGGAACCAGAAATGGTGTGTGTGTAGATGCCTCTTTTAAACGCGGCCATAAGGGGAAGAAGAAAGGTATCACATGGGAAGGGATGTGGGGTCAAGCGAGGCATTTTTTTAATTCTAATTTTTTGTTTGTTTACTTGCTTGTTTTAATATGCTGCATCATGTAGTAGGTTTCCTCTATTTCAAACAACAGAAAACAAGTCTGGTTAAGTTCGGCCAAAAAGGGACAGCTGGGCACAGTGGCTCAAACCTGTAATCCCAGTACTTTGGGAGGCCGAGGCAGGCAGATCACTTGAGGCCAGGAGTTTGGGACTATCCTGGCCAACATGGTGAAACCCCATCTCTACTAAAAATACAAAAAAGTAGCAGGGCATGGTGGTGCCCACCTGTAACCCCAGCTACTCGCAAGGCTGAGACAGGAGAATCATTCAACATGGGAGGCAGAAGTTGCAGTGAGTGGAGCGCACACCGCCGTTGCACTCCAGCCTAGGCAACAGAGCAAGACTCTGTCTCAGAAAAATAAAAAAACAATTAGCTGGCTGTGGCAGCATGCTCCTGTAGTCCTGCGTACTCCCAAGGTTGAAGCAGGAGGATCGCATGAAGATGATCTTGAGAGGCAGAGATTGCAGTGAGCGGGAATTGTGCCACTGCACTCCAGCTTAGGCAACAGAGTGGGACTCTGTCTCAAAAAATTAAATTAAATTGAAAGTTACGCAAAAAGGGTCTGTGTCAAAAGATTGCAGGGAGCTCCAGATGCTAATGCTCTTAGCCATGTTCTTCAAGGCAGGAACCAGGTGACTCCAGATCCCAATAGGAGGAACCACTTGTTTCACAGTGTCACCACCACAGAAAGGATTCCTGTTCATGGTCCTTGGTGTGTCTCTCGGCTCAAGATTCCAAATCCCAGTGGAGTGGCAGCTCATTTGGCAGAGCTATGGCCACATGCCCTCTGTCCTTGGATCCACATATCTGGAAGAATACCTGGCCCAGTGCCTCTCTAGGATCACCCCCTGCCCCATCAAGACTGCTCACAAGACAGTTTTCCCCAGCAGAGAGGTTGAAGCCTGAGTGGCCAGAAACAGACAGATAGCCACTGTACTTTGTAACAAACTGCGCACATTTGACAGCTGGGGAGAAGGCCCCATTGGGAAGGAGTGAACGGGACATACAGAAGCAGGAATTGCTACTGGCATAAGGTCCTCAATGGGCTGAGATCCAGGAGTTCAACAGGAGGAAGGAGGTGACTTCTTTATGTAATAGCAGAGCAAGAAGAAATGATGGGGGTAGTACCGAGGTACTGTAGTCTCTCTCTACTTGGGAAAGAAGGTTGCTGGCAACCTTAAATCTACATCCTCACATCTCTGGATCTAAACAACTTGCAAATCAAATCTTACTGACCCTGCTTGACAATCCTGGGCCAGAAAGAGAGCTCTTCAATTGGCCAGCCTGTGTCACTGCTCTTCCCAGGAGGGTGGGGCTCTGCAGTAGGACTGAC